GCCCAGCAGGGACACTTTCTGCAGACAGACTCCTATAACACACACACACACACACGCACACTCACACGCACACACGCACGCACACACGCGCACACACACGCACACACACACGCACACACACACACACACACACACGCGCACACACACGCACACACACACGCACACACACACGCGCACACACACGCACACACACACGCACACACACACACACACACACGCACACACACACACACACACACACACACACGCACAGCATCTGGGACAGAGTCAATGCTTCAAAAGTGTGTGTGTGAGGAGTCAATACTTCAGCTTAGTCCCTTAATTAATCAGGGGTTGCCACAGTGGAATGAACCACCAACTATTCCAGCTTATGTTTTACACTGCGGATGCCCTGCGGAGGGGAGCTCCTATACAGCCCTAACAAAGCTTTCCTTTAACACATCTGTCTCCCACAGACACGGACACTACTCCACACAGTAAAGTGAGGCAACTCTCTCCTCAAAGGGTGTTAGTTCATCATCCCCTGTTCGCTACACACTTTGACGGTGGCCCCTGTTCTCCCCCCTGCTGCTAATGCAAAAAGACACTGTAAGACACACAATATGGATATTAATGTTTGCACTAATTTGCCATAATGTAAATACTGTGACTATTTATTGCATCTAGTACATTTTATTTTACATCTTATATTTTAGTATTATGTCTATTGTTGCCACTAATATACCTGTTCATCATAAGGCCTGAGTCCTGGGTCACATGTGGGCTTCAGATGTGGATTCAGCATTCAGAGGCTAACAGCGCTTCACAAGACTCTCACACACAGAGAGAAACACATTTAACCCTTTTCCCAAAGGATCCACCAGGATCTCTGCTCGAGGGGATGAAACTCTCTCTCACACTGATCTAGAATCAGATTTCCCATGTGTGTGCGTATTGAGCTGCGAGGGTAAATCTGATCTGAGACCAGCAGTCGGTTGTTTTGTGAGTTGACGGCAGACACACTTGGTGGGATGAATGGACGAGAGAAGCAGTAAACTCTGGGTGACACTGTAACAGAGACAGATACTGTGTGTGTGTGTGTATAATGGAGATGAATGGCTTGGGTTTGGCAATTTGCCAGAGCACACAAACCACGGAGAGGCCTTGCTAAGCTAGTGTGTAATGTCCATGGACAAATACTGAGGAAGGGTTGCTGAGCTCACTTTAACCAAAGCCTAACAGATGACAGATGAACTCACAGTGTAAGTTACCATGGAGGACGGCCTGCAATTCACCACCGAACATTAGTTACTGATACTAAAGACTTGGATTTTAACATCCTTAGCATGCCTGGCACCCATTCCAGAGACACTAGTTAGAATTCTAGAGGTAAAATTGGTGTCGCGACCAATAGACACCAGTTGAGGGTTGAATTGGTGCCGTGACCCGGATTGAAGTAAAGTTGAAAACATCAATTATTCGTGGAAAAACAAAGTGACTGACACTAGAGGCTGGGGTTTTTAACATCCTTATCATGCTTTTGTTGTTGCTCGTCAGAAATCCACTGGGAGCGGGAGAAGAATAATTGAAAAGGTAAAATTGGTGCCGTGACCCAGACCGGAGTAAGGATGGAGGATTTGTTAAGGTTAAGTAAAACATACTATTTTGGCCTCAAGAATCACACTAGAGGTTATTTTTATTATTTCCTTAGCATGCCTGACATCCATCCCAAAGACACTAATTACAATTCAACTTAGAGTGGGAGAAGTGCGATTAGAAAGGTAAAATTGGTGCCGTGACCCAGATGAGAGTGAGGTTGGGGGAATAGTTAAGAGTGCGTAAAACATACCTATTTGGCATGAAGAGGCAAGTTAGTTAGTTATACTAAATATTTAAACATCCTTAGCATGCCTGACACCCAACCCAGACACACTAGTTAAAATTCAACTTGAATACGGGCAGGTTGAATTGTAGGGGTACAATTGGTGCCGTGACCCGGATGGGAGTTATGTTGGGGGGAGTCTTGCATATCACTTAATGGAGAAAAGCCAGCAAGACTGGTTAAGTAAAACATAACTTTTTGGCCCCAAGAGGCACATAAGTGACTAACACGGGGCAGTTTTTACCCATCCCAGACACCCGTTCCAGGGGCAATTCCAGAGATTAAATTGGTGCCGTGACCCGGATTTGAAATGAAGATTAGTTAATGGTGAGTAAAACATACTTTTTTTTGGCCTCATGGGCCACATTAGAGTCTGACACCATAGCCTGGGGTTATCATCCATAGCATACTTGACTTGCATACAAGAGACACTAGTTACAATTTCACAGGGAGTGGGAGAGGTGCAATAGGAAGGGTGGAATTGGTGCCGTGACCCGGACAGGAGTGAGATCAGAGAAATGGTTGATGGTGAGTAAAACATACATTTTTGTCTTCATCTTCTGAGGTGGCTGGCTTCTCCTACTGCACTAAACTACATTTCTCTGGCTCATACTTGCTCAAGTTTAGCAGGACGATTGTGTGCTCTATTTTGAACAGAAACGCTGCTTTATTCTCGAATGTTTCAAGCAAGTTTGCGCATGAATCTAATACACATCTTTGGATGGAAACACAGCACACACTTTACTGTTAAATGAAAGACTGCGTTCACTCACCTGGCAACCCCTCCTCTCGATCTCAGAGATGCATTTCTCGATGAGCAGCGGGACCATGAGCCCGGACGCCTCCCGCTCCACCACATGCCGCGCCTCCACCCCGAACACCTGCATTTGGGGATGATCTCCGTCCAGCGAGTTCTGCCTCTGCTCCATCAGGCTCAGCTTTACATAGATCATCCCGCGCGGCTCCAGACGCACTGCCAGCTGGTGTGTTTTACTGACTCGAAATAATCCCGGCAGAACTACGGTCCCATGACAGCACACTCGGTTCCGTCGCGGAGTCGACTCCCAGCTGAAGACAACAAGTTTGAGATGCTGAGCGTTCTCCAGCTCGATATTAAAGGTGTGGTCCATGTCAAGAAACGATGTGCGACAGGTTAGCAAAGCCGTACGAGCTTTATTGACCGAGTCCACCTGAATGGCGCAGTAGATGTCCCGGGAATCAACCCGCGGCAGCTTCAAATCTTCTGCGCCATAGAAATGCAGACTCATTAGTCCCGAAATATAAGTTAGGCACTTTGGCTGCTCGGTGAAACTGTACGAACGGAAAGCATCGATATCCAACTCTGTACCGGGGAGTTTGGGACTTCCACCGTTTCCGTTGGGATCCCGCGTTTTGCAGTTCTTTCTTTCAGAGTTTGTATGCTTGCCTGATTTGGCCACAAGTTCCGGTGAATCTCCGTCACTGAGGTATCCTCCTTTACTTGCAGATTTGGGAACTCCAGCACTGTTGCTTCTCCGCTTATCGAAACTGTGCTGTGTTGAAACACTGCTGTCCAGATGGTATCGCCAGATCACGTTTCCGCTGGCCAAAGCCGTGGTCACGCCAGCAGGGGGCAGTCTGGATGGGCCCAGATCTGCCATTCCATTGACTCTCGGTGAGTGAGCCCTGGGCTCTGATTGGATATTATTGACGGGCACATTGTTAATAGGGTTGCCTTTAACACTGAGCTTCCGACTCAGATCAGGCAGCTTCTTCATCTTCATAGAGAGTTTGCGGACAGTTCGCGGTGACTTGATTTTATCGGGAAAAGACCAATTAATCGTTGTCGTCTTTTTAGTTGGGTTTGGACTGGATGATGGAGAACGTCCAGCAGTGCACTGCTCTGAGGAATCTGGGGAAGAAAGAAGAGGGGTTAATTAGTACATTTAGGGTTGCACACTTTATTGTTTTAGCATTGATAATGCATAATTCAATGATAATTTGATGCAACTGATGGGTATTTCTCCAGTGTAGAGTGCGTGGCAGCAGCTGAACACAGAAGTTCTAGTAAACTAAGGCTGCTTTCACACCTGTGAATGGATTCAGTTGTTCTGAAACAGAGATTACAAATGTTACATGGCTGCTCTTTGCTCTTGGAGCGGTTCACTTTCACACTGCAAAGTTTCTAATCGGACCAAAAGAGCTAAAAACAAGTCACGTGCGAGTAAACTCTGCTCACATTGGTCAGAGTGTCAGGGTTTATTTTGCAGCGTCCCGCTCAGCTGTCAGGAGAGGTGGTGGTTTGGTAGTGATTGACAGGGTGCGCGCACGTGACGTGTCTGAGGAGAGATGCGGTGGGGAGGGTGAGAATGGAGTGCAACGATGCCTATTTGAGGACCGGTAGGCAGACGAGAGATTACCGGGAGATCATCACTCGTTTGCGGCCATCCGGAGACTCGCGAAACTTCCCGCCCTACTCATAATTCTCTCTTCATATAGCCGTAAGCCTATTACATATCCATAAACACTGTGATATAACCGCGCTCGGATCGGATCGCTTTCTCACTGCAATCGAACCGCTCCAGGGTTCATTTCAATCGAGCCGAGACCACCTCACTCAAGCGATCTCGGAGCGATTACTTTGGCGCGGAACAGAGCGCGATTGCCCTGTTCACATATGCCAAACGAACCGCGCTAACTGGGCAAACGAGACACGTTCCCAAACAAAAGTGTAGGTGTGAAAGCATCCTAAAGCTGTGTCAGTCCAGTGTTCAGAGCTGAAGTTCAGTTCAGTTCAGTGTGGTTTAATCTTCACTGCTGAAAGACCAAACACTGAAGAGCAAATCCATCCATGCGCATCTCCATATCGCAATGTGTGTGTCTGCAATAGTCACATAGCAGGATGTGCAATGTTGAATTGGGATTATGGTTGATAAACAACTGAAAAATTTAAAGCGTTTAAAGCATTTGGGCACAAAAAAAAACAACATTTGTAACTTTAAAGAGGAATAATGTTACGGATTTACTACAATAAAAGCTATACAATGTTGTTTTACATTTCATTGTTCAATTCCTGAACCCGAATCCTGTTTGACTCTCCAGAAACCTTGTAATTTGACTTTTCTTCTTTGCTTTAAAGCATTTATTCTAATTTCTTATATTTATACATGATTCACACCCTGACAAAATCCCCCCAATCAATCTAAATTCAAGATCATTGTCTAAACAGAGCTGTTCAAGCCCTCTGGTGACATTGTAGTCAATTTACATTTGAGAACAGTAGTTTACATACACAGAACAAAAAGGCACATAACCATTTACAAAGGGAGGATGTTAATGTGAGTAAACCTTTCCTCTTTTAGGTAAGTTAGGATGATCAGATTTGTTTCTGTTCTGCTTAATATCAGAGTATTAAGAGAGATGTTTATTGAGAAATGGTTATAACTCTTCTTGAAAGTCACGTTTATACACAATCAGATTATTCTGCCTCTGGAAAAGCTCAGATGAGGATGTCAGGGTTTTGGAAGTTTCTGATTGGCTAACTGACAACATTTGAGTTAATGTGAGGCACAACTGTAGAATAGTGTTGAAGGAGAAGCTCAAACACACTGCTTCCTTCTGTGACAACATGAGAAAATCAACAAGCCAGAATCAACAACAAAGCCAGATTACCATTAGCTGAATGACACTGGGAATAGACTGATGTGTGGAGACATGTCCTGTGCTCTGATGGAGCTAAGATTGAACTGTTCGCCATAATGAGCAGTGTTACATTTGGAGGACAAAGGGGAAAGCGCACAAGCCTAGAACACCATCCCAACTGTGCAGTATGGGGGCGGCAGCATCATGTTGTGGGGCTGTTTTGCTGCAGGAGGGACTGGTCCACTTCACAGCAGAGATGGCATCATGAAGACAGAACATTATGGAGAAATACTGAAGCAACATCTCAACACATCAGCCAGTACATTACAACTTGACCACAAATGGGTCTTCCAAACAGACCATGACCCTAAACACACTGCCAAATCAGTTCAAATGTGCTTTAAGGACAACAGAGGGAATGTTTTAGAGAGGCCATCACAAAGCCCTGATCTCAATCCTATAGAGAATGTGTGGGCAGAGTTGAAAAAGCTTGTGCAAGCAAGACTCTGTCAGGATTTTGTCAGGAGGAATGGGCCAAAATTCCTGCAAACTATTGTGAGAAGCTTGTGGAGGGAGACCCAAAACATTTGACCAAAGTTATACAGTTTAAAAGCAAAGCTAAAAACATACCAAGGAAATGTGTGTAAACTTTTGACTGTCTAGAAATTAATAAAACATTAATTTCTAAAACAATTCTAAAAGATACAGTATTTATTCGGATTTTCCCATAATCATGCAGTCCTACCTTACTGTATGCACCAAACAAGCAGCACGATCATTTTCCATAATTCCTTCCTACTCCTCCTGGCCTGTTTGCTCCTGTTTAGTCTGCAGGATTCCCCTTTACACCACACAAACGCCATAATAACTACATATATCCCAAAAAGTCCCTTTCCAGCTCCGTCCCACACATCAAACACTGAACATCTGTGGAAGATTCCGGAGCGGAGGAACCATAAACCAGAGTGCTGCGGTTAAACCTGGCCTTCAGCTAAACTCTTTCTCTTGCTCCCGCGATTAGCAGATTCATTCTGGGACAGCGTCTGTGGCTGAAGTCTTTATGCAGCAGCTGACGATTCAGATTTCTCTTAAAGGAACACTCCACTGTTTAGTAAATACGTTCATTTTACAGCTCTCCTAAAGTTAAACAGGTTATTTCAATCATTTTATAATCCATTCAGTCAATCTCTGAGTCTGGTGGAAGCATTTTTAGCTTAGCTTAGCATAGATCATTGAATGGGATTAGACCGTTAGCATCCACTTTTTATAATTAGGCTCATTTTATAGCTCTACTAAAGTTAAACAGGTCAGTGTCAGGTTAGTTACACCATTTTTAATCTTTTCAGCCAATTTCCATGTCTAACAGGAGCACTTTTAGCTTAGCTTAGCATAGATCATTAAATTGGATTAGACCATTAGCATTTACATTTTTGCAAATAGTCTCATTTTACAGCTCTCAAAAAAAAAAAATAAACAGGTTAGTTTTACCATTTTTTATCTATTCAGCCAATCTCTGGGTCTAGCAAAAGCACTATTAGCTTAGCTTAGCATAGATCATTGAATCGGATTAGACTATTAGCATCCACTTTTTTGAAAATAGTCTCATTTTATAGCTCTCATAAAAATAAACAGGCTATTTCCACCAGTTTTAATCCATTCATTTAATCCATCTCTAAGTCTTACAGAAACATTTTTAGCTTAGCTTAGCATAGATCATTCAATTGAATTAGACCATTAGCATCCATGTTTTAGTAATTAGTCCTATTGTACAGCTCCCCTAATGTTAATCAGGTTATTCCACCAGTTTTAATCTATTCAGCCAATCTTTAAGTCTTACAGAAACATTTTTAGCTTAGCTTAGCATAGATCATTGAATTGAATTAGACCATTAGCATCCACTTTTTCTGTAAATAGTACCATTGTACAGCTTTCTTAAAGTTAATCAGGATATTTCCACCATTTTTTATCTATTCAGCCAATCTCAGGGTCCAGCAGGAGCACTGTTAGCTTAGCTTAGCATACATCATTAAATCCGATTAGACCATTAGCATCTCGCTTAAAAATGAGCACAGAGTTTTAATAATTGTCCTGTTTAAAGCTAGACTCTTCTGTAGATACATTGTGTGTTATGAGACCGATGGAAATTGAAAAGTTGCTATTTTCCAAGCTGATATGGCTAATAAATATAGCTTGATGTCAGCAGTTCAATCATATTACACATCAGCTAGCATCCTAGCCATATTAGCCTAGAAAAATCAAAAACTTTCCATCTTCCATTGGTCTTAGTACACAATGTAAATACAGAACAGTCGAACTGTAAATAGCACAATTCTCTTTAGGCTACAGTCATTTTTTGACTGAGATGCTAACGGTCTAATCTGTTTCAATGATCTATGCTAAGCTAAGCTAATGGTCTAATCAGATTCAAGGATCTATGCTCAGCTCGGCTTAAAATGCACCTGTATGAGGGAAAATCAGCTGAATGAGTTTTAAAAACACTTCAGTAGAGAAGAGTGGAGTGTTTCTTTAAAAGCTGAACATGCAACCAAAACTGTTCCCGTTCTCTGATCACATGACAGGCCGCTCAGCTTTTCTACAACAGCGGCTCTGTGTCTGTAGTTCTGGGCCTCCTTCAACACCCTCCGTTTGATCTGGAACTTACAGCCCGCATAAAACAAAGAGCTGATTCTGTTTCAGAGAGAGAGAGAGAGACTGACTCTATTTTGAGAAAGACTGATGTGATGAAGACAGGACAGGGGTCAGTTCACACTTCAGGGATGTTCAGGAGAGAAACACTAGCTGTGCTTCCATCCAGAGATCAAATGAAACTCCTGCGCAACACTGTCATGATCAGCCAGTAGATGAGCGTCTCCATCAGTGCTGCACAGTGCGCTTTTACTCCCACTGGAACACATGTAATTCAGGCAGCACACACACACACACACACACACACTAAAATGGTACTCACTACATCTGGACCTAGGGATGGGACTGAAACTCTGAGCTTTATTTTAACGTTATAAAAGAGCGAAGTATGGATAATATCGGTTCGGCTATCAGTACTGGAGAATCACTGCTGATTAATTACTCACAGTAGCATCATTCGTCTGCAGAGTCGGCAATGTCACATGAGGAATGCTCGTGTTTTCGCCCAATAGTACAACGGCAAATGCATCAAGTATTAAAGCCGTACAGTTCTCGGCTGTGTGCACGAGCTCAGTGGAGGCTCACACATATCATAGACACAGACTCGCGCGCACACACAGCTCGTAAGCTTGCAGAGTGGCGGAGAGA